TGCATTAGACTGAATACTCTTTGGGGCAGAGAACAGTTTTGTGTTTAAAGAATGTACAAGACCAGTATAAAATATATTCATGAGGTCACCACACCTAATTAGGCTGCTTAAACTTTATTGAAAAATAGGGAACCATCTCACATTGAGTCAGATCTTTAGTTTGACTAGTTTAATATTGGCCAATAGCAACCATTCTGGATATGGAAGAAGAACCCTTTGAAGTCCTACTGAGAGATTGATTGGCTCTGGGAATTGACTTTGAATTTAAATCAGCAAAAGCTGAACAACTGGCATTTGGGATGGGATAGATGGAAGGCAGAACTGAGATGGCAATGGGAACAGCAATTTCCCTGCTGAACTTCTTATGACATTTTATTTGTTTTTACTGGTATTCATGGGGAACTGCAGTATAAAAATGAGATTCAAAACTAATTTAAATCTCAAATTCCTTTAGCTCAATATATTCACAGTCATGATTGTGTGTACTATTTCAGAGAACTAAAACCTAATCCACATTGATTTCTGCTTTAAAATATAGTGTTGCTATATAATCTTTACTGCCATTTTAGTAAAGATTTGAGTCCTCGCTTTTCCTATTTGCTTGCAAATTTGAGAACAGAATGCAAGACCATGTGATTAAATCAAAATAGAAAGTACGGTGGCCCTGGAAAGGTCATTTACACAATCTAAGTAAGTCCACTTATTATATTAAAATTATCTAGGCCATCATCTTATTGCTATTATCTCCAGGGTATTTAACATTATTGCAAAATCATCCAAAAATAATGATACCACCAGCTATACTTGTTTAAGTTTAAACTACCGTATGTATAGTAGTAACAAATACAATTTAAGTCCAGTGCTAAGTGATAAAAATTTTGTGTGAAAGCATTTTTGTATTATTTTTTAACTAAGCTGAGAAAAATGTCTTTGCCAGTTAGAGGCCATGCGGATCTGGATGGGGAGGAACAGGCTCAGACTCAACCCCTCCAAGACTGAGTGGCTGTGGCTCCCGATGGCCCGATATAGCCAGCTGACACCATCGCTGGATATTGGGGATGATATCTTACCCCCCTCAGAGAGGGCTCACAACTTGGGCGTCCTCCTGGATTCACGGCTGTCCTTGGAAGATCATATGACGGCCGTGGCCAGGGGGGCTTTTTATCAGGTTCGCCTGATCTCCCAGTTACGTCCCTTTCTGGATCGGGACGCCTTGCACACAGTCACTCACGCCCTCGTCACTTCCCAGCTGGACTATTGTAATGCTCTCTACATGAGGCTCCCCTTGAGGAGAACCCGGAGGCTCCAGCTGGTCCAGAATGCAGCCGCGTGAGTAATAATGGGGGCGACTCATCGCTCCCATGTAACACCCATCTTGCGCGAGCTGCACTGGCTCCCGGTGGTCTTCCGGGTGCACTTCAAGGTGTTGGTTACCACCTTTAAAGCGTTCCATGGCTTAGGACCTGGTTACCTACAGGACCGCATTCTGCCACCGATTGCCTCCCACCGACCAATACGCTCCCACAGAGAGGGCCTCCTCAGGGTGCCATCAGCCAAACAGTGTAGGCTGGCGATCCCCAGGGGGAGAGCCTTCTCTGTGGGGGCCCCGGCCCTATGGAATGAACTGCCCCCGGACATACGAAGGATCCCTGACCTCCGTGCCTTCCGTCGCACTCTGAAGACCCTATTATTCCAGCAAGCTGGTCTGACAGGATAAAGGTTTTTTAAACTGGGTTTTGATAGGGGTTTTAAAATGATTTTAGTTGGATGTTTTAAATTTGGCCGAATGATTGAATTATTTTAATAAGCTTTTAATTTTTGTTGTATGTTGTTTTTACCATGGCTGTTCGCTGCCCTGAGTCCCTCGGGAGAAGGGTGGTATATAAATATAATAAACTAACTAACTGACTAACTAGAATCATTTACTTTTGAACCTGAAGCTGAGTCTTTTAAAAATGTTTACCTGCTGCAGTTAATAGTTGATAATAAAACTGTTTAGCTAACAGAATGGTGACCATGCAGAATAATCATATGCCTTAATGCCATGATGGCAAACCTATGGCACATGTGCCCGAAGTGGCAAATGAGCCTTGTTGCCTGGCACGCATGGCGTCACATGTTCGTCTTCTGGGTTTCTGCCGCGCAAGCACGCGGAATGATCAGCTAGCCTTTTTGCAGGTGGCAGTGCCGGAAACGAAGAGCTGGTCTTCCATTTTTCTTCATGAGCATGCGTGCCAGCCAGCTGATCATCGTGTGCGCATGTGCACCAGAAATCTGGAAGAGTAACTGGCTGAAACCAGAAGTTCATTTTCTGGTGCACTCATGCACCCTGGGCAGCTCCACTTCCTGTTTGCAGCCCAGATATGCGTGCAGTCTCTTTTTGGCGCTCGGTGCCGAAAAGGTTCGCCATCACTGCCCTCATGTATGCACCATCTTGAAAAAAGAAGCTTAGGTTCTGGGCACATGTATGTACTACCCATAAAATTGTAGTAGACTTGGAAAATAAATAAATGTGATGCAAAATGTCTATGGAGATTCTCAGTCATCGAGGTCATGATTGTCCCAATGGTGCTTTTTCAAAGGGCAACTGGACTTCGCTTTTCCTTGAAGATGTTTCGCTTCTCATCCAAGAAGCTTCTTCAATTATGACTTCTGATTTCCCAGCAAGTAACTTGGAGGAGTCATAAATAAATGAAAGAAGTTTCAGAAATTCTAAGGAAAACAGTAGTAGGCAATTGAAGAGAAAGATAAAGGGGTTGTGACAGAGAGCATGGAGCCAACAAAGAAAGCAAAACAGGAGACTTCAAAAATTAAGGGGAGGTTGTCTCACAGTGGAGAGAGAGAGAGAGAGAAATAAAGTCCAATGAAACTTCGTCCATGGAACTCTGGATGCAAGAGTCTTGAGATAGGTAGCCTGTGGGACATGTTGTCATTGGGGAGAAAAGAGAGAAGCAAACATTTAGCCTGAAGATACAATGACAAATAAGAAAAGAAAATGTTCTACCTACTTGCAGGCAGCCTGAGGAGATCAAAGGTAGTAAGACATAAGGCTTCCTAGTTAAGAGAGATAAAAAAAATATTTCTGGGGAGGGAAAGGCCACAGGATCATCTATTCAGCCACTTTGAAGAACATTTAATCCAAGTGTTAGATAAAATTGCTTGAATTTGCTAAGAGTTTGACTCTGACTGGGCAGTCAAGGTGAAGAAAGAACAGTATTGCTTGGTTAGTTGGAAAGAGTTTGATTATATGACTCCTGAGGAAGTGAACAGGGTACTGTTCAGATCACCTGTACTGCTAGTAAAGCTGGTTAAAGCCAAGCTGCTCCTAGTTAGTAAAGGCCTTCCACTGAGTGAGTAAAAATACTAAGGGAGATTACCTTGAGAAATATAGCCAAGAATCATTATATAAGTGAAGAGAAGTAAAACAGCCCTTAAATCCTAGGAAACAAGACAGTATTGTGTTTTTCTTGGATGTTTTCATACATTGTTTTTATTGTTTCTGTTTTCCACCTAGAGTCATTTGGAACCAAACTCTCTTACAAATACGATAAATAAACCATCCAACATATCTTTTTTAAAATTGAAAGAAATGAATTAAAAATAATTATTTATAATGAAAAACTGAGACAATTAGTGAAGGAGAAAAGGGGTGATAAATGTGGGACAGACCATCTTTTGGTAATATCAAGAATAGATCATGGGGGTGGAAAAAGGACATGGAAGAAAAGGATGATGTAAAATAAATTAGAACGTAGAACGACTATAGGAAGAAAAAGTATGAGTTCTATATGAAAAGGCATTAAAAATAGATTAATCTCACAAAAAGAATGAATGAAAATGAGAGATAAGGAATAAATGTGGAATTCTTACAGAGTGCCACATCACGTCTTTAGTAATGAAAAGTATAAAAATTTGCTAGATGGAATGAGAAAGTAAAAGCTCTTTGAATGAGAAAAAGATATGCCATTGATAATTTTCATCCTATTTCCAGCTTTTATTGTGTTTTTGTGATGGTATTGGCAGCTTCAGAGGACCATGGATCTACCAGATCATTTGAAACCATTTTTTTAGTTGGGTTTCAGACTTTATCATAACTGTGAGGCGGATGATCTCTTGTAGGACTTGTGAATGATTTCTGGGAGGACTGGGGTGGTGGTGATGCATCAGTCCTGGCTCTCCTTGATCTCTCAGTTGATGTTAGTATCATAAATCATGGATTTCTTCTGGCTCTGCTTAGATGCCTCAGGAGTGGACGGCATAGTGTTGCAGCAATTCTCCTCTCTCCTCCAGGCCTGATTTCAGTTGGTTTGATGTGGGGGAGAAGTTTTGTCCCAAACTACTATTTTGCCAGGTTATTTGGGACTCTACTCTTGCACCACATGATATATAGACGCAGCCATTGGGTGAATTCACTCTCCCACACATGGCAGGTATCCTTAGTAATGTTATCTAGTGATTCCATCTTGGTTCTTTTCAGTGTCTGTGTCAGGGTTCCAAGTAATAGATCCATATCAAGCAAAACTCCAAGGCAAGTAGATTCCTCAAAGAATAGCTTTATTGGAAATATCATATTGGCACATATCTGGTGAAAATCAACTCTGAAATGTCCCATGGTTTTTCACCTAATTAAAAGTAAATCAACCCCAAACAATCAGTCACATAGTCCAATCAAGGCACTTTCTGATGGTCTGGTGGCATCACTCCCCCTTCCTCCGACCAGGTGTGAGAATATTCATGGTTCTCAAGAGAAAGTATTTTATTTTGACTACACAACTACAGCTATCTCTAATCCCCCCTCCCTATTTCTATGACTCCCTATCCCTCAGGTCTAGTGTGGCAGCACTGAAGCTCCAACCTGGCTTCGACCAGGTCAGCTTCAGGGTTGACAGTCTGGTTGTTGTGGGGTCCTGGATGGAAAAAGAATAGGTTTAGGCTTAATCCTGGAAAGAATGAGTATCTTTGACTAGATCTGGTGATTTCACATCATTAATTGTAGATAGGGTAAATTTGTCTTGTGTGCCATCTTGTTTACTAGTTTCTGGAAAAGAGGTCCTATTCAAAGTTACTTATGACTTGGTCACCTTCTGATTGGATTGCTTATGTAATATGCTGTATATATGGCTGCCTTTGAAGACCACTCAGGACCACTCCATCCATCTAAAAAACAGTGATGCAAGGAATTATGGGTACATCATGTTAAGACCTCTACTTTGCAAGCTGTGCTGACTTCTAGTAAGCTTCTGGGTATAATTCAAAATGCTGGTTCTTACCTAGGTTATTTCAGGGATGCCGAGCTTCAGTTATTTTGACCCACCTCATAAAATCTGTCAGTGTGGCCATGGTCTAAGTCTTCTTCATGAAACATACTCATTTGATGGATCCCAGGAGTTGTTCCTTCTCTGTCATGACACATCTCTTATGGAAAAGCATTTCCCTGGGGATCTAGATAGCCTGGACTTGCCAAATTCCACAATAGGAAGAATATCCTTATTGTTCCCCTATACAAAGGGAAAGGAAGAAAAAGTCAGTGCAGAAAACAGAGTGGAAAAATTGGGGAACTGTAATGTGGGAGTTTTCTTGTGGTGATGTTAGAATGCTTGTGGTATTGTTAAATTCTGGTTTAACATTGGAAGTACATGTACTTTTGTATTGAGATTATGTCATATTTTTAACAAGAATTCAAATTATTTATAGCATGTGGAATGAGAAGCATGGCTCTGAATATTTCCCTTTGTTTTTTCCTGAGTGAACAATTATACAGTATACACAGAGAAAAAAAATAGCACAATAAGAGATTACTGAACATGGAAAAATGGATACAGAAAATGTAAATATATGCAAATATTGATGGAAAGGTTAAGGTTTATTAAGAGGAATGAATGCTTGTCAATTGAAGTGAAAATCGTGGTGTGTAAGAGATGTTTCTGCCCCGGTTGTTATATGGAAGAGCTGAACATGTCATGGGAAGATCATAGTGAGCTGACTGCAGTAGGAATCATTTACTTAAGAAGTAGTTATGGTCAAGAATGAGTGATGTTGAATGAATTTGGATTGAATACAAAAGTGAACCATCTGGCTGAGAAAAAATACAATGAGATATTTTGGTCCTATAAAGGGAATGAGTGAGGAAGGATCAATAGAAGAGAATCAGGAAGTAAATGGGATTGGCATGACAGGGAATCAGAATGAAAAGAAATGTGTGAGGAACAGATGACAAGTTATGAAACTATGGTGGATAATGTTGATGAGCTCCCAGAAAGAAAGATGGAAAAGAAATTCATAAAATACAAGATATGTAGTGATGTATGGATGTGATGGAAAAAAGATTGGTTTGTAAGAATCAAAGGTATGGGAAAGGAGAATGAATGATCTCTTGCCTTTTTCTTATTCCATTTCTGCCCATTTTCCTATGCCCTGCAAGGGAATAGCAAGGTATGTAGGAATCAGTGGTGAAAGCCTACTGGTTTGCACCGGTTTGGGCGAACCGGTAATGATAAAATCTACCGGTTCAGTGAACCAGTAGTAAAAAAAAGCTACCAGTTGGTCCAAACCGGTATTTCCAACAATCAGCTGTGCCATGTGATTTATATTTGCTAGAAAGCAGGAAATCCTGCTTTCTAGCAAATCTAAATCACGTAGCACAGCTGTTCCCCCCTGTTACTTACCTTCTACTTTCTTACCTACTTACCTTCAAACGGCTCATTTCTTCATGCAAAGCGTGTGTTTGGTGCACACTGTGCATGCATGGGCAGCGAACCAGTGACGACTGGCAGAGATTTCACCACTGGTAGGAATGTACATAATTCAGCAAAGTTATAATTTTAGTTCTATGTCATCGAAAGAATGGACAATTTTTTAAAAATTTATATATAAAACTGTTGTAGCAAGTCTAATTCAAGGCTGTCAATCCTTTATAACAGAGGTCCTCAACTTTTGGGCCTGGATTGGTATCAGTCTTTTGCCTTTTAGGAACTGGGTCTCAATAACTGGAGGTGAGCATCAGGTGAGCGAACGAAGTTTCATCTGTATTTGCAGCCACTCCACTAGCATCATTGCCTCCGCTCCACCTGAGATCATCAGGCATTTGACTCTCATAGGAGTATGAACCTTAGTGTAAACTGCTCGTGTGAGGGATCTGGATTGCACATTCCTCTTCCTCTCTCCCCATGGTCTTTAGATAAATTGTCTTCCACAAAATTGGTCCCTAGTGCCACTGCTTTATTAGACTAGGCTAGCTTCTTTGAAACACATTCGAGAAGCAGGTGTTACAAGATATATTACCTTTCTGAAGGATTTCCCTAAAAATCCTTTCCTCTTGACTTCTGCTGATTGGAGGACATGAACCTACCCCATTAAATTACAGAAAAATAGAGTCGTATTACCTCTTTTTGTCAATTTTAAAGCTTCTGTGCTGCAACTACTCCATAAGATGACCAGAAATGAGTCCAGAAATTAGTTTATTTCAATGATAACACCAACACTTTGGAATTACCTCTCCTGGGGAGAAAGTAATCTTACTTTTGCTGATGGTCTTTCATTAACTAGTGAAAACAAGCTTTTCCAGTGGAGCTTTGAGGATTGATTATCACCTTTATAATTAGCTAGTTTCTTTTGTGTGTGTTTGTGGGCGCACCTTCAAGTCAGTGTCGACTGCCTGTGCAAATCCCTCCAGTTTTCTTAGAAAAGTTTTTCAGAAATGATTTGATATTGTCTCTTTCCTTAGGGCTGAAAGAAAGTGACTGTCCCAAGGTCACCCAACAGGCTTTGGATCCAAGGCAGGACTAGAACTTACCGTTTCCTGGATTCCAGTCTGATGCCTTAACCACTAAAACAAATTGCTTCCTAGCTAGTTATTAGTATTTATCAATTTATTATAATTTGTTATTTTTGTTTTTTGGGATTTTTTACTTTAGTCTTGGGGTGGTTTTCTTTTGTTTAGACATCATATTTACCATATATGTCTTTTTTTTTAATGGTATATTATTTTCCCCTTATACACAGAAATCAGGAAGGACAAACATAAGCAAAATCTTGGAGCCCCAGAAATATGTTAGGCTCTCTAATTCACATGAGAATGAGCAAATATAATTCCATGTATCTAGAAGGTGCCAGACTAGGAACGTTGGCTATACATTTGTTTTTTGTGCTGCTGTGGGCTAGATGAAATGAATCCAGCTTCATTAATAGGTTTGGTAGCATTAAGGGTGAAAAGACTGAACATTGGAAGTCCTTGATTCATTGGATAATGACACATTGAAAGGTGACTTGGCATCAGGTCTTTGTTGTTTTTAATCTATTTAGTTTTATAGATTTAATATGGTTTTATATGTTGCTTTAACTTTTGATTGGGAGCTGCACAGCATTGGTTGGAAGATGGACAGCTGTATAAATGTTATAAATAAGTAATAGCAATAGCAGTAGCAGTTAGACTTATATACCACTCCATAGTGCTTTACAGCACTCTCTGAATGGTTTACAATGTCAGCATATTGCCCCCAACAATCTGGATCCACATTTTACTGACTTCAGAAGGATGGAAGCTGAGTCAAGCTTGAGCCAGTCAGGATTGAACTCAAGCTGTGGGCACAGTTAGCCTGCGATACTGCATTCTAATCACTGCAGCTCATAAACAAATAAATTCAGATTTCACTAATTACAAGTATGAACAAAGTCAATGATTATTTTCTCAAGCTATATCTCCCCAATAAGGGTTAACCAGTTGACCAGCAGTAAACCCATGCCAGCTAGTCATGTGTTCCTTTCCCAGGGTCTTCTCATTTATTTCCTTCTGCTCCACCCTGAATTGTGAAAGTCATAGAAATATTGTTCATCTGAATGCTCTAAACATTGTGTCATTATACTAACAAAAAGGGAGGTAGCAATAAATACCTTGTTTTTCTTTTCTTTCTTTTGGTTGCTAATTGAATATAAAATATGTTTTATTTATAATAAATATTTTTTAAAAATTAAAAATATGGCATAAGGATTGGATATAAGGCTCATTGACTGCTAAAATACACATTGCTATCACCAACCTTGTATATGACAGTTCTCACAGGAGCTGGAAAACGTCCGTATGATTAAGTGTAAACTGAATGCTGTCCTCTGTTACCAAGCGTTAATAAACCATCCACTTAACAGTAGGGGAATTTTCATCAAGCTTGAGTACCTCTTCAACTTTTTTTATATTTAATGGTATATGCGAATATATTATTTGAAAGTATTCAGGAGTCAAACCATAAAGCTGGACATTATTCCAAGATTTATCCAAAGGGATATAAATTAGTTAGGAAGGTTTCAAACAAGCTGTTCTTGTTAACCCTAAGTCCCCGCGGATTGGCCTCCAGTTTGGAACTTTTAAAATTCAATGAAGTTCAATTGGATTATGCAAAAAGCGTGACAGGAAAAAAAAAATCTCCTTGGATCTCTAACAAGACTGCTATCCTTAATTAAATAATTTGTTCAAGTTAATGAGTGCTTCTGGCAATATTATAACTGACCCCAGCACCAAGTCTTCTTATTTATTTACTTATTCATTAGATTTATATGTTTCCTTCTTACCTTCAGGAGTTAAAAATGGCCATTGTGCTTTTTCTTCCCATTTTTCTTCATAGAAGCAGCCTGTAAAGTGTAACAGGGAAAGAGTGACTCAAGGAACATTCAGAGCTGAGACTTCAGTCCGACTCAGTTGCTAAGACGCTGAGCTTGTCAATCAGAAAGGTCAGCAGTTCAGTAGTTCGAATCCCTAGTAGAGGTCTCCTGCGTGAGCAGGGGGTTGGACTAGATGATCTCCAAGGTCCCTTCCAACTCTGTTACTATTACTGACTTGCCGAGTTATTGCCCATGATTCAGGCTCTACAATGTTCTATGTTTCTTTTTTATTTTTATTGAGTGAACAGCCACACGTCTGGAAAGGAGTTCAGGATTAAACCCATTTTTTTCTTATGCTGATGGATCCACTGGGGGTGGGGTCTGCAGGAAGTCAAAAAAAAAACCTCAATAGTGCAACCATGATCCTATGATCAAAATCATTACCTGAGGGCAGGACAAGAAGCAATGGATGGAAACTAATCAAGGAGAGGAGCAACCTAGAACTAAGAAGAAATTTCCAGAAGTTATGAATTCTCCAATACTGGAAGTTTTTAAGAAGAAATTGGACTGAGATTTGTCTGAAATGGTATAGGGTTTCCTTCCTGAGCAGAGAGTTGGACTAGAAGACCTCCAAAGTCCCTTCCAACTCTTCTCTTCTCTTCTCTTCTCTTCTCTTCTCTCCTCTCCTCTCCTCTCCTCTCCTCTCCTCTCCTCTCCTCTCCTCTCTTTTCTCCTCTCCTCTCCTCTCTTCTCCTCTCCTATCCTATCCTATCCTATCCTATCCTATCCTATCCTATCCTATCCTATCCTATCCTATCCTATCCTATCCTATCCTATTCTTTGTTACATATGTTGCAACATATATAAAGAAGGTGGAGCTTGGATCTCATGGTTGTGGTTGTCATCTTGACTTTGCAGGCATCTCTTGTGTCTACTGACTTTAAAACCCTCTTTGCAGGCATCTCTTGTGTCTACTGACTTTAATCTATGTAGAAGTCACTTCTATATGTGAAGCGACATTTGCGCAGAACTGGATATGCAGAATTTTCCACCCATTTTAATCCCGTGACACTGTAGTCAGTTTTTCATATAATTCATATGTGAATATTTATGGAGGCCCCATTAACTAAAGATAGGATTGTTAGTATTGGTGAGAGTTTGGCAAACAGGAATGAAAGAACTATAGCTAATGGATATCTGCCTATAGTTTCAAAAATATTTCTTTGACCTCTTCACTACCACAAAGGAGAATCAACTTGGTCATCCCAATCTTAATTACAATTCCATTCATAATTTAGATATACAGCAATCATTCTAAGCGAAATATAAATGAATTTCAAAAGTCTATTGGCTATCAATCATGTTTCTTTTTTCTCCCTTAGTTTAGAAGAAGAACACGGCTCAATGCGCACTGATATTATTTATTGTAAATTAAGTAGTGGTAACATTTCCTCCTATTCGGGTGTTTTTATTGAGTCAACAATATTGAATCATCAAATTTTCTCATATTCACTTGAGCCTGTTTCCTTTTTCCTTTAAAAAAAAATTAACAAGAGTTTCACAGATGTTCTTTTTAATTAAAAATTGTTTTCCCGAATAACATTTTATATTTCCTGGATTTGCTACTTGACTGGAAACCACAGCTGATCCCAGCAAGTAAACTTGTATTTATAACCTTTATGTTAAGTCCTATTTAAATAGTGCAACACATGTTCATTGTTGCGAAAAAAATTAGCTTGTTTTATGATGAAACCCTTCTGTATAGTTAGAAATGGGGGAATGCTGAATAAAGACAAATAAACGTACAATCATTCTAGATAATTGCCTAAAAGGGGATTAATCTTTTCTGTATGGGAGTGCATTTGTTTTTTGACAGTTTGGTAAAGCTTCTGGATTAAGAACAATTGCAACTGGTGAGTTGAATTGCATTTTACTGATGCTTCAGTAGGAAAAAAAAAACATTCTGAAAAGAAGTTTGTTGTGGACCTTTGTTCACAGTCATTGCCAATCATCTGACTATCCTCTAACATAATGACAAAACCTAATGCATTTTATATATATATATATTGAGACTGCCATTGGACCATGTCAAAATAAAGAGAAAACACACTATAGTGTTAGTACATCTAAAGATGACCCTAACTCACCTATATGCTGGGGACAAAATGAAGGCAACTTCACGGGGAGAGTTTTTTTAAAAAATGGATTACTAGAGCATATTTATGATATGTCCATGTGTCAAAGAGCCTATAATTGTAACTGGATATAACTGGCATTCACTGGGTTCAGTGAATAAGTACAAAGTGTTCCCATTCCTGAAGTTTTATTTCAATTTTTTAATACTCTGGCTTGGCTAGCTGGCTTGCTTTCTGCTCATTAATGTTGCTTGTGTATGTTCTGAAGAAGTTCTACTGAGTTCTAGTTCCTTTCAAAAAAATTAAATATTATTTTAAAAAATAACATTTTATTTTTAGAAAGGAAGACACAATTCAAAATAATGTTACAAAATAACAGTTTGAAGCAGTGGTGGAATTCATTCTTTTTTAATACCGGTTCTGTGGGCATGGCTTGATTGGATGTGGTGTGGCTTGGTGGGCATGGCTTTGTGGGCATGGCAGGGGAAGATTACTGCAAAATCTCCATTCCCACCCTACTCCTGGGGGAAGGATATTGCAAAATCTCCATTCCCACCTGATTTGCTGATTCTCCAAACTACTCAAAATTTCTGCTACCGGTTTTCCAGAACCTGTCAAAATAGCACCCCTGGTTTGAAGTCTTCCTTCCAATTACATCTCATATATGTTAAGAGTGAAGACAGATGTAAGTATAAACATGATTATGAATTCAGAAAATGGGGACAAATAAATGGGGACAGTAGGACAGGGACGGTAGGCACGTAGGTGCGCTTATGCACACCCCTTACAGACCTCTTAGGAATGGGGTGAGGTCAGAAGTAGATCATCTAAGGTTAAAGTTATAGGGATTTGGGGATGTAACCACAGAGTCAGGTAGTGCATTCCAGGCACTGACCACTCTGTTGCTGAAGTCGTATTTTCTGCAATCAAGTTTGGAGTGGTTTACCTTAAGTTTGTATCTATTGTGTGCTTGTGTATTATTGCGGTTGAAGCTGAAATAGTCATTGACAGGTAGGACGTTGTAACAGATAATTTTGTGTACTACACTTAGGTCAGATTGAAGTAGTTCTAAATTGTCTAAGCCCAAAATTTCAAGCCTGGTAGCATAAGGTATTCTGTTGTGAGCAGAGTCAAATCAAATGAGCCAACTCAAATGAGCCCATTCATTTTTGTGGTCCTTTATTACCAGGAATGGGGACAGCTGTTTGTAAGATATTCTGTTTCAGACAGCATAGCTTGTTCTACCTTCTATGCTATTCACCTTGAATCAAAGCACAGACGGGCTCCTTTGCTCCAGGCAAGAAAATGTCTTGAACTCACCCAGGGCCTTTGTGATGTTTACAATTCTCCAGATCTTCCTGATTGGAGTTTTAGCCAACCTTCATATATATAAAAGGTTAGGGTTTGTGCGATTATGTCTTTTTGGCAGTATTCGGTTAGTGGAGGGATGTCTAAAACTGCTAGGTCTCTTTGGGTACCCTTCACACCATGGTCACCATGTGAACAGCATGCTAATATGAGTGTGTTTCGGAAATGTTCCATAGCTTCTCTGCAAAGGGTAGAAGCCCTTAAGGGGATAGTGGGAAGGAACAGTGAACGAACAGTCTTGCAATGAATTCTAATGTGCTGTACTTAAAAGGTATTGGAGTGTCTAAATGTGGACATAACTTGAAAATAAAATGGCCTGTGTTAAGAGAGGTATTGCAATCTACTTAACAGCCAGGAGTCTGAACTCTCTGTTGTTGTTTTTTTAATTATTATTATGGAACTCATTCCACGCACAGCAGGCTTTTCTAGCAAAGGACACCTTGCTCTCTACTTGCTTATGGCACATGTAGGGTAATCTACATAATATGGATAATCAGTCTGGGGTATTATATTGTATTCTTTCTTCATCTAGAAAAAAAAGAAAGGGCTCTGCTGCATAGAAATAGTTCCACACGAGAATGAAGGAGTCTGAGCTTGGACCATCTCTTTTTTTCCATCAAATCATCACGTATAGATAAAGTGGCTGCTTAGACATTACAATTCAGCAGCAGCCCTTGCTAAAAGATATACTCCTGAACATATGCTGAAAGCTTACTGAGTAATTAAGTAAATCGTCACATTAAAAAGAAAAGCAAGTGTTGTCCGAGATGTAGAATATGGGCTTAGCCCAACTATCAATGAGTTAGAGCAGACATTTGTTGCATTTGATGTTTATTTGGAAATACATGAAGATAGAAAAGCCCCATTGCTACAACCCAGGTGGGATGAACTACAGCCAGGTGAAGAAGAATCACAGGGACAGTATGAGAAGACCCTCTTTCTCATGTCTTTCTCTCCATCTCCACAGCTCAGAGATGATGCCATCTCCAATAAAGTCAAGGTGTATGGTAGAATTAATGGCCAACGTAGGACTCCCCAGAGCTGTTAATCAATAGTTTTCAAAATTTCTAGTCAGAAAACTTTGTGAACTTTGTATAGGTATTCTAGAAGTTGGTAGCTGGAGAAGTTTAGCTTATCAACCTGATCACTTTGATTCTCCAATCATCTGTTCTACTTTCAAGTCTTGTTAAATCTCTCTAATACAACACAGTCCTTTCAACAGTTCCAAAGAGGCTCCACATCCATTTGCACTATTCAGGTGACCCTGATGACACTGATAAACCTCCAAGTGCTTCAATCATCCACTAAAAAGTTACAAATGACCAGCTGTCTGCAAGGAGTATAAATCCTTCCATTCTCCACCATCCAGTCAGAGCTGAAGAAGCTTCTTGGATGAGAAGCAAAATGTCTTCAAAGAAAAACCAGAAAGCCTCTTGGAAAAATACTTTTGGGACATCCTGGAAAAAGAGACTTTTGATCTTTGACCTCCTCCTCGTTCCAAAAAATCTCTTCACAATTAAATCCAAA